ACAGAAGCTGCAGTGTGATGCTTGTGAGTTTGGGAAGCTGACTAGAAGCTCTTATGTTAGTTTGGGTAGTAGGAGTTCTTGCAAGTTTGAAGTAATACATGTTTAGATATATATATGTATCTCTATATATAAACTTATATATACATATGTATATACATGTATATATATACATCTATACATGTATATATGTATGCGTGTATGTGTGAGTGTTTATATATACGCATGTATATATACATATGTAACGTATATAGAAGTGTATATAGCTATATACACGTATATAGGTACATATGTATATATACATGTAGGTATGTATGTGTATATGTGTGTGTGTGTCGGTAGTTAAAGTTTCAACCTCTAATGTTTGGGATTCCAATATCTTCCAAAATTCAAACAAAAGTATATTGCAAAAAACTCCTCTACCGAATTCAGTAGAAGATGCTTATATTATCTAATGACAGATTTTGTTTCATCAAATATCATAGAGAAGAAAGTTTTACCATCAAAGGTTAATATAATACCCTCGCACTATCTAGATTTGGCAAAAGATTTAGAAAACCTAACACGATGTAAGATAGTCTCTATTAAATTCAACAGTAATGGTGGTTTTCTATAGTTTCAATATAGCCCTGATAATAACTAGAATCATGTACAATTTATCCATAAATAAATCTAGCAAAAACTAAAAAATACTATTGACTAGCAAACTTTATGCTTGGTTTCTTTACACTACAAACATAGAAATAGAATGTTGCTTATGAAGCAAAGAAAGAGACAAACGGATGCGGCTTGTGCCACATGATAAAGGTCCTACATGTCTCTTCAAAGAGGAGAGAAGAAGTAAAAAGGAATTTGCATAGGAATTTGCATAGATATTTGTTGCTCTCAGATTATCCTTAAACAAATAAGGAGAAAGAGTTGAATCATGTAACCTGACTCTTACACACATTCAACATATACACCTAACGGGGAAAAAATCCGAACCTTTCTCTTCATTTTTCTTCGTTACGGTTGGAACGGTGATGGCTAGATTGGTTAGCTTCACTCATTCGACTCACCTCGCCCTAACCCTTTTTCACCCCCTCCACGTCTTCTCCATTTTTCATTTTCCCTATTTTTCTCACTAGCTTCTGCAGCAATGTATATGCAGTATACAAAACATTTCTTCAAATTGACATCAATATTTTATGATACAAATATCAATTGCCATTTCCTCTACATTCTAAGAGTTGAGTAAATTGTTTAAGTTTTTTTGAGCTTTTAAGTTAACATTATTTCACTTAATTTCCACATGTTTATCATGTTAAATGCAGTGTTCATGTAATCTAAATTAATCTATGTTTAACGTTCTTCATGTGATCTTTTGATATGTTTATAAAAATAATAATGATTTATGTAATTTGATATGATTTTCTTACGAAGATACTGCCTATTATATGTCAAATGCATTGCATATAATCTATTTTAATCTAGGCTTTAACTTTCTCATTTGATTTTTCATATGCTATTAATCATAAAAAGTTAACCCAACTTGATTCTCTTCAGCACAATATTTTATGTTTGTCCAAAATTGAAGATTTTCTAATTTATTTGAGATTGAATTAAATTCTAATCCTGAAAAAATAAACTTCTAATACATTTTAGAAGGTTTTGAATTGTCTATACAATGTTGTATACTTTAAAGGTGAATGATCAATTTAATGTACTACTAAAAGCGTGGCGAACTTTGAACTTTTCTTTCAAACCAAAAATTTGTGTAATAAAAAATCAGATAAAATTTCTAGATATAGTAACGATGAAGTAGTGCAACTAAATCACTTAAATATGTCAATAATACAGTTGGCATCAACTCAGTTAAGATAATTATATTTGACAAAAAACTTTGTGATGCACATCGAGTGAATCATCTGTCAGCCTTCTCTAAGTTGTGTCTCTAGCTTACACATAGTGCAAGCGGCTCGTTAAGGAAAATCCATTATCAAAAGAAATCTTGGGGCCGCTAAGTACAAGTGTGGCCTATGGATAAAAGCCCACAAACTATGCCAAACCTGACAAGGTTCAAGAATCTTCCTTTCCCTGATATTCAAAAGAATTGTTCTGCATAATCCTCTTCTATTCTTCTTCCCTTTTGACCTTCTACTCTGTGATTCCTTTTACTTTCCTATTCCCTACTTTAACCAGCTCCTGTATAGGATTTTATGGCTACTGTGTTCTACTTTTCACTGGTATTAGTTATTATTCCTTTTATAGTAGGTAATTATAATGTTTACTCTTTAGTTGATAATAGAACTGGCTAGTTCCAAACTTGTATGTAGCTCTTTGGCATAGGTTTGTTCTCTCATGTCAATATTAGCCATGGATATAGGTATTTGATAGATCAGCTTTCAGTCTACCGAATCTCTTCTGTAGGTTGTATTTCTACTTAGATCTGTATTAAACTTGGTATACCATGCTTTCAACACAGTTTGGCATTCTCTGGCTACGTAACCCCTAAAATCATCAACATTTATTAAATTTCCCCCCAAATCCTGACATTTATTAAAATGCCTTCAAACCTCAACCTTTAGATTTTTTCCACCCAAACCAAAGAAAATATGGTAGGCATTAGACCGTTGAAAGGGGTGGTGCTACTATTCTACCTCCCCCGTAAACATAGTGGAGTTCAACATTTGCGTAGAAGAATCCGAAGTCTAAGATTTGAGAGGCATTTAAATAAACATCAAGACTTGGGAGTAATTTTAATAAATATTGATGATTTACAAGGTATGTAGCTCAAAAACATTACAGTTTTGCGGTTAAAAGTGATGGATTAACATTTCCCCAATAATGCTAGTTTTTTCCCCAAAGAGGACAACAAATTGGTATCGGAGGCTCTTGCAGTCAAGGAGGTAGACGCAACTAACATCAAGGATGTAGGAGTTTATTAAAACCAATGGGAGTCAATTGACGGACAAGGGGCTATGTTGCATTGAAACGGGTATGGGTGGTGGTACGGGTAGAGGACATGACAAATTTGTAAAGGATAGGCACAGGCGGGTACACGTCACATTCTCGAAGTAGATAGCCACAAGAGCCTTTACAATCATAGCTTCAAACTAGGTATGACCTAAATCAGACCCACCCAAGCCATGTTCATAAGTTTCACGAAGTGAATCTGAAGCGTAGAATATACATCCAAGAAAAAGCATGACAAGTGCTTTAAATTAAAATATGTAATATAGAATAGAGTGCACATGTGAAAGAATGCATGCGTTTATTCAAGGAGTGCCCAAGGAGTGTCCTATGAGCATGGGTTTCCGATACATGTCGAGTCACAGCACGGCTTCATGATAGAAATACCCATGTAACAGACAAGGAGGCTCCTAATCACCCAGACGAGCTAATCCTCGTATCAGTGGTCCTACAATGAGGGGCTCCAATGAGAGGCTCCAGTTATCATAGACCAGCGAGGGTTGGCTAGGAAGTCTCGAGTGTCAAAGCTATATAGCCAGCAAACAAATCTAGGGATCAAATACTGAGATGCCTTATGAACTACCATGGTTCAACTATTCTCTACTCAACAACTAGGAGGTATAGTACAAAAGGATCATAGCATCAGGAATAATTTCTGCCAACTCCTCCCCTTCAGAACACCCCTTCTTAAAAGACATCCAGTCATTGAATGTATCATACTCCCTTCACAAACCGACTCCCTCGCCACAACAATTTGCCTCTTAACAATTTACTTATTATATCCCTCCTGCTCAAATTTTTTACCCAATTCTTCCATGGTCATTGGAAACCTCCTACAATAGGACTATGGAAAACCCACATGGTCTCACTCCTAGGTACGACCCACATGCTAACTCAATTAATATGTACCCCCATAACAAACCCACCACTTATAGGTTGTACAGTAGTCCTTATAGGTATCATTCATCTCCCAACAAGCCTCAGACAAACTTCATTAGTCAACTGATTTCCAGACTTATAGGTTGCACAAGTACACCTTTCTACCAGACAGGTCGAACTAGACGTTCCTTCTTTTCACAAAGAATCTAATTCTAATATGCTACAGTTAGTATTTTTTTAAAAGATGTTGGATTACTTTTCTATCTGTAATAACCCTATTCAAAAAAGAGTTAGCATCTTCTGTTTCATTTAACAACTGATGCAACAGAATAGTATCTCTCTTTTAAGCGAGTCAACAATGATCAAGTTTCGTGGGAAATGTTTCAAGAAGGCCAAGATCTATGTTATCGCACAGTTATGCAAAAGAATAAGAATTATAGGAACTCAATGATCTATATGGTCTGCCTTGTGACTTAGAGGAAATTGATCGCTCCACTAAATAGAAGCTTGGAAGAGCTCTCAAACTCTAATTCCCAATAAAAAAAAGGCTCCCAAAGACTATAATATTGTTTTATCACTACCAAAAACTTCTATTAAAATACCCACTAAAAAATGCAATCTCTCAAATGGCTCCCAAAGACTATAAGATTGTTTTGTCACTACCAAAAGCTTCTACTAAAATACCCCTTTATCCCATAAAGATTAGGACTCATACAGTAATCCTATAAGAACTAGGTCTAATATAGTTTTGTACAGATGTTCTGAGAATCCTGTGGTACATCTAGAAAGGGCCCTAAAAGGGAGGAAGAAAAGAAAAATCCTCATATGAATAGGAACATAGGATTCAGGACAACACATCCAAAGAGACATCACCAACAAGACCAGAACAAAGAGAATGGTTTTTAACCCATTACATAAATTACTAAGACCATTGATTGATTCTAGAGTAACAGTACTAAACGATTTCAAAACTTAACAGCACCACATCATAGAGTTTTTTGGGGTAAACCTCTGCGCATGAAAATATTGTATAAAGAAAGACAAGAAAGATTCAGTTTTGCAAAACTACGCTAAGCTATTTCAGTAAAGAATCTAGTTCCAACTGCAGAGGTATATACCTCTGGAGTACACACACACACACACACACACAGAGAGAGAGAGAGCAACTGGACCTTTGTGAAGAACTTTTGTGCATGACTCCGAATCTGCACTGCTGTTTTTGTACCAATATGCTCTGTGCAGTGTACAAAACCAAAGCATCTGTAATTAAAAACTAACTTGGGAAAAAGAAAAAGGAATCAAATTTACAACCTTCAATCCGCTGCCAAGCTCTTCCATACAGTTTCAGAGCTTCAATAAACTTGTTATGTTCTTCCTCGGTCCACTTCTCTCGCTGCTTCGTGATTGTATATGGTTTTCTTGTCTATTATACGTACAAAATTAACATAAACAAATGAACACATTTTGGAACCAAACAAACATTATTTCACTGGCAATTCAAGTCAGAGATCACCTTTACGACAAGCTCTTCACCCGAAGAATTCGTTTCCATTTGTTGCCAGATCTCAAATCCTAAAATCAACAAGAACAAAACACAGCAGCTTTGGGTACTAGCTCTCCTCCAAGTAATCAACAAATAGCACAAGTTCTCCTTCCATGTCTCCAATCAACCGCTCAATTTGACGAATATAATACCTCATAACTTAATCACATCTACCACTGAAAAACACAAATTAGAAAATTTTAACAACTTACTAAAATTAGCATCAGAGCTCAGAAACCTCACCAAATTAAAGTCCAGTCAGCAGCCATGATCCTGCAACCTAGCAAGCAAGAAGAGATCAACAAACCCTAAGAATCGAAAGGGAAAAAACAAACAGAATTGCTCAAAACTCACCTCTAGCGGCCGATGCAGCGCGCATCAGGCACATCCAATCCCCATCCCGCCGATCCAAACCAAACAAAGCTTAATATACTCGTAATCGAGCTCGAGATCTCAGCATCAATGGAGAACTAAAAAGACTATTTCTTCTTGCGAGAAGACGAAGAATCGAGAGAAAAAGAGAAAGAAGAGGAGCTCCTTCGTCCGCTGCTCTCTATATCTTTAATTTCAATTTCGAAATGTTTTTCGAAAGAAAAAATAATTGGGGAAAAAAATCTCAGCCACTATAGTTATTTGTGGATTTGGGGACGGGAGAGAGGAAACCGAAGATTCGCGGCGGAGAGCGAGAATGGTGTAGACACGTGTCGAAAATCTAGTGTCCGGTAGGAACGCAGCTGCGCTTTTTCGCTCGTGCCCGTGGTGATGTGGCAGACTCTCATCCACAAGCTCACTTTCGTGGTACTCTTTTAACGAGAGTTATGGCGACCATGTTGATTTCTGCAACTCGTGTGATCTGGAGAAAGTAGGGCCCAAAAGTAGAACGGGTGACTAATAGGTGAAGGAATCATTAGGTGGAATTCTGAGGAGAGAATTGTTTGAGGCTGCGTAGGAAATAAGTGTTTGGTTTAATTTCTACAAATTATAGAAAATATTTTCCACCCAAAATATGATTTCTTTGTGTTTCTTAAAAAATTTATAGGAAAAGTTTTAAGAAATCAAAAAGTACCAATTTTCTTTTTTTTTTTACTTTGCTTGTTTGGTTCAAAATAAGAAAATTGCCATCTGGGTGATTTCTGCTCATTTTAAGAGAATTGATTTCTGTAAATTTTAGTATTTTTCTATACTTTATAGAAAATATTTATGTAAATTTTTTTGAATCAAACACAGTTTACGAAAATCTACAGAAAATTTTTAATTACAGAAATGTCATTATCGGTCTTTTTGAGAAAAAAATTTTTATAAAATTGTTGAACCAAACACCCCCTAAAAGTACAGGGGATGAAATTTTTGAAATAAACTCATTTACAATTTTAATCCCACATTTGAACCCAATCCAAACTTATTTACCAAAATCGACCAACTTTCTCGTCACATCAGTTTCGTGGCTAGAAAGTGGGTCATTTAAAAAAATCACAATCCTAATTAGTCAGGCTTACCAACCCCGACTAATTAGGACCTCCCCCCAGCCCTCTCGTGGTTAGGCCACTAAATAAGTCGGGGTTCGAAACCTCGACTAATTTTATTGGGGCTCCCAACCCCGACTGTTTGGCAGAGTCTGTGTCGTCCCTCATAAAAATGATCGGCAGAGACTTATGCGAGGATTTTCATCCGGGAGATAGTTCATTTACACAAAGTCCCAGAGACTATTGTATCGAATCGAGGCTCAGTTTTCACATCCCACTTATGGATGAGTTTCCAGAATTCATTCGGGAGTCAGTTGTCATACAGTAGCACATTCCACCCACAAACGGATGATCAGATGAAGAGAGTGAATCAAATATTGAAGGATATGCTGCAAGCATGCATTATTGATTTCCAGGGTAATTGGGAGGACCACATCCAATTGATTGAGTTCGCTTATAACAATAGTTATCAAGCGACAATTGGTATGGCACCGTACAAGGCATTGTACGGAAGGCCTTGTAGATCCCTGATATATTGGGCAGAGCCGGAGGATAACTTATTACCTGGACCGGAGCTTGTGAGACAGACTACAGAGAAGATAGCGGTGATTCAGGAGCGCATCCTTGCAGCTCAGAGTCGTTAGAAGAGTTATGCAGATCATAGGCGACGACCGTTAGAGTTCCAGATTGGGGACTATGTATTGTTGAAGGTATCTCCAATAAAGGGAGTTCAGCGATTTGGTAGGCAGGGAAAGCTAGCCCCGAGGTATGTTGGTCCGTTCAGGATTATTGAGTGCATTGGAGCCGTTTCGTATCGGCTAGAGCTTCCCACATTAATGTCGAGCATACATGATATTTTTTATGTTTCTTTGCTTAAAAAGCATTTGCGCGATGAGGAGCAACAACGAGTGTTAGACGCACCAGAGATTGAGCTTAATGACGACTTGACCAAGATAGAGGTTCCTGTATGTATTCTTGCTAAGGAGGACAAGAAGCTTAGAAACAAAGTGATACCTTTGGTTAAGGTTCAGTGGAACCGAAAAGAAGCCGAAGAGCCTTCTTTAGAGCGTGAGGAGGATATGCATCGCGACTACCCGCACCTGTTTGAGCAGGTAATTTGATTGATTTGATTATGCTTTGATTATACATATGATTATCAATATGGACATATTTATATTTAGCACTAGAATTAAGGTATTAATACTTAGCTTCTAATCTTTCAGAACACATGGTATATATATGGGAGGTCCCTTGTTTGGGTTTTTCGTCCGATGGAGTTAATTAGGAACACCCACATTCTAGGCTGTTAAGCGTGGATATCTCTATTATACATTTGCAGAATTTTTGGGACGAAATTCTTTTAAGGGGGAAGAATGTAAAGCCCTGTAAATTTGAGTATATTATGATAAATAATATTTAATATGTTATACTATGATAAATAACATATTTTTGATGTTTGAGTATGTTAGGAATTGATTTGAGATCAATTCAACGTACATATTTTCGAGTATGAGAATGAATCAGTTTGCACAGGCAAACAGACTCAGTGTAGTTGATGGGTGCTCTTAGTAGTTGACTATACTAAGCCCGTAAACTATTTACAGAAACTTGAGTTGAGCTTATTAGTCGACTACTAGGCTTAGAAGTCGACCGGCGGGAGATTTCCTAATGTATGCATGTTTGGTATCGGGTTGATTTTGTTTGTTTCGAACCCGACTATTAACCTATGTGTATATACTCGTTTGAAACACTATTTTCCTCACCTTTCACGTGAAATATCAGCAGCCTCTCACCTCCTTCAACACTAACCCTAAAATTGTGAGTTTTGGGTGTGTTCTTGAGGCGTTTGTCTAAGGGGAGGCAGATTTTTGGCATTTTGGAGAAGAGAGATCTTGCGTGCACGTGTTCAGGAGATCAACACCACTTTGAGGCAAGATTATTTTTGTCCAAACTCATCCCCATAGATAAAGAACTAGTTTGAGATGTATATTTTGGTTTTCACATGCTTAAATCTTAACCCGAGGTGTTAAAGTTTGGTTTTTGAAAATAAATCTTAACCCTATGCTAGATCTGAAGTTAAATCTTTGTTGTTGGTGATAGAAATGTGATTATGATCATTAGGGTTTATGTTAAATTTTTTTTAACTTGATAATTGTGTTTAACTCATGAGTAAACCCTAATTATTGTTAATTGATGTTTCTTGTAAGCTAATTATGCTAAAAACCTGAGTTTGGGATACCTAAGATAGATGAACATGTATAAACGAGATTTTTATTTTGTTCATGAGTAGTTAACATCATGTGTTGATAATTTCGTTGTTTAATTAAGAGCTAATTTGAGAAATTTGATTAATTAGGATGTTAATCCCTAATTAGAGCAAATTAAGAGATTGTTTCATGTTCAGGATGATTGCTCATATTTTGATGAATATTACATGTTTTATTTTTGTATTAAATCACATGAGAAGTATAGTTAAATGATAAATCATGTTCGTGCATGAAAGAATGCACGTTTTGACAGGGTAGTTGACTACTAAGCTTAGTAGTCGACTACTCATGCCCAGTTTAGGTTTAAAGAAACTGAGTTAGTACAGTGTAGTCGACTAATATGCTTACTAGTCGACTACTAAGTTTGACACTGCAATTAAAAAGTCTGGATTGATTCAGTGTAGTCGAATACTAAGGATAGTAGTCGACTACTAAGGATAGTAGTCGACTACTAAGGATAGTAGTCGACTACTAAGGATAGTAGTCGACTACTAAGACTTTTTCCTGAACATTTTGTTACTTTGTTTTGAGATATGATCGCGGGGTTCGAGTCGCACAATAGTCTATGTATAGACATGAATATACATGAATGGTGTTGTGTCACCCACATGAGTATCCCAAAGAGGATTTTGATAAGTGTTGGGTGATTACACTTGAGTTAGTAGTTTATACACATGTTGGATATCGTTAATGAGCTCAGCTCAGTACTATATAAGATAGTGCGTCGGTATATCAGATTTATACAGTTTAGGCATGGGATGGATATCATTGATGAGCTCAGTTTAGTACTACGTGGGGTAGTGCATCGATATTCTATTTGTATAGGCTATTGAGTCGGGTTTGGATGCTTTGTCTAGCAGTCCGTCCACACGAGGGTGCGATGAGGCTTGTGAGCCGTCTTTTAGGATACCTATAAGGTAGGTCATCCCACACTCATGTTACGCACTGAGATCGCGATGAGACTAATGATTCGTGTACATTGATTTAGGATACCTACAGGGGTAGTCTGTTGTGTATGATACTACGATTAGACCAGAATCTTGCAAAAAGTTGTAATGATACGATTATTTGATAGCCTGACTTTTAGTGGATGCCAAGAGTGTTTATGTCACGTTGTTGAATATATATATGACCGAGATACCTTACTCTTGTGAGTACATGAGAACTATATACTGATGTTCATCATGGTATTTTATTTTTTTCCAGTGATGTTTCTATTCATAGTTTGGGATTAATATTTAGATATCTACAGTTTGAGACATATGATATACATAAGGGTTTCCTTATTTGGATTATTTTGCTCGATGTACTACATCTCATGTTGTAGATTTCTAACTATTAATACCATTAGGTACGAGACAAAATGATGTAGGTAGACTGTGCTTAATAGGTAGAGCATCCACTACATCTAGCAACCCTTCCCCTGGGGGCAGATGAAGGTAATCTTGCTTTTACACTCTGTCGCTCTTGTTATTTTCTTTTTATTTTAATTTCCCTTTTAGGCGGTTCAGAGTTTTGAAGAGTCGCAGGTTGACAGACTTCCAACATAGTCACCGTCGTTCAAATATAGTAGTTGAGACTCCACTGTAGTTGACTTTCATGTTCAGACATTAGAGTTTATTTTCTTCTTGTAATGGCTGTGAGCCTTAGTACGATTTTTATTTGATTCATGTTGAGACACTCTTTAGTCATCAGATGTATTTTAGATTTATCAGTTGAGACATGAGTTCACTTATGAGATTTATCTTTTGACATCATGTCTATTGTATTTATTTCCTTCTTTTTGCATGTATTGTACCTACACTTTATTTTTTATTACACTAGACGATATTACTGTTATTGGTGAAACGTGTTATTGCACAGCGTGGGTGCATGATAGGTTTGAAATCTCTGGGTTCACCTTG